AATACCTGACCAATTCCATCTCAGTTCTCTCTCAATACTACAATACCTATTTCCATGGTAAACTCAATACAATCTTTTCTTTCTGCTCAGTGTTGGGTAAGGCAACACTGTAGTACTGGCTAATATCCAAGTTAATTTGTTGATATTGGGCGAGCTGAGCAAAAGAGATTGATCTTTCTGCCAGGTTGCTCTGAAATCTGGATTCTGAGAATGCCAGTTTCCTTAAAATCTACGGTCGGTGCGGTCTTTTCTTATCCGGTCCGCTAAATATCTAACCGGCCACAGAAGTGTTTGCTTGCCCGATTCTTCACTGTTTTCAATGAGGGAGAGCTGGTGCTTCTGTACTGCGTGTGTTAATTCTTGTGGACGATCGTGTAGGAGGTGCTGTTGGAATGGTCGTGATCGGTCGTTGGAAGAATGAGATGTTGTTGCCTGGCCCGTGTGGTACTCTGCAATGAGGGATGGCGCCAAATTCTTGTTCTGTCAACGTTGAATCACCGAATATCCTTGTTGCGTAGCAGGAAGATAGTTTCTACCGATTCTACTGTGTGTGGTGAGTAGTTGTAGATCTGAGTTCTTGCTTGGCAATCGGGAAATCGAAAGGTGCTTCTAACGGAATCAGTCAGTCAGTTACGATCGATCGCCGATACGAGGTACTGTACGACTCGGAGGGTTGCTGGCTTCGCGTGGGATGGACTAGGACGTTGTTCTTTGGTGTCGAGAATGTACTGAGAAGAAAGTAATTTGCAATGATGAGCAAAGGATTATCAGTCTCATATCTCTTCTGAGCAAACAGAAGAATTCCTTGTCTTCCGATCTCGGTCGTTCGTCTTGTAATCACTGCGATAGGATGCTTTCTTGCGACTGACAGTTGCAGTTCCTATTCTTTCTATGGACAGGAGTTAGATCGCGGACTATTTCTTGTAGTTGCAAACAGCGTCTCGATGGGCGAACAAGACAATCGATATACTTCGAATTTTACTGTTGTTGTTTGTGATTTGGTTTTATGGGTGATTGGCGTTTTGGATAATGATCCTCTGTAGAACCAGTACAGGTATACGTGGAATGACTGGATCTTCCGGGGCCGCAATCACGATGGGTGGCTGAGGAAGTTCCGTTCGATATCTATCGATCCAGAGCTCCGATTTGAGTGCTTCCAAGGGGAAATCTTGCTGGTAATAGTGTAATATATAGCTTTATAATGATGGAGTTGCTTATAGTGTCTTTGTTGTTATGTTGTTTGTTTTATCTTTATTGTCATCTTGTTGACAGAATCAGTTCGGGAGTCCTGTGAGTTGCTCCCGCTTGAAAAAACACTAGTCGTACAGCATCCAACATGAGACACCATGTTGAGGTCCTCCAATATGTGCTTTCCAAGTTTGGTTTTCCCCAGTACTTCCAAGGCAAGGCTCTGATGTTTGACTTTGTCATCAATTTTACGAGACCATCACCTCACTACCAATGATGGCCACCAGAGATCTCTAGCGAAAAGCTCAGTGAAGCATGCAGAAGCTGTTCCCAGCGGCACCAGCGACTGTCAACCGAACAGACATAAGGTCCCGTGAGCATGAAATGATGTGCCGTCATGGTCACCAAAGAACGCTATCACTTACGAAGCCTACAAGAGACATCTCAAGAATGCCGCAACCCACTACGTGTCCAACCGCCGTGGTCCCACTCCCAACTAGCCAAACCTAGGAACTGTTAGGTGTGGTAACCAAAAGCCATACCGGGTGATAGGGGAGAAGCAAAGTCCTCGACTCCCAATACAAATTTGGTTCAAGCTTTCCCCGCCGGTCCGCCAAATCTGGTGCAAGATCCCTGATGCCGACAGACGAGTCCTGATAGGTTCGACCCGCCTTAGTTGATTCCAAGAGTGAAGCTGACCCTAGCAGTCGGGGACACCTTGTATTCTCCCATGGCAGTATGACTAAGCCTTCAAGGGCAAGCTCAAGCCCAATCCAACCTGGTTTTGATTGGGGCGACTAGTGTACGTGTGCACCGTCAAGCCAAGGAAACCAGGCACCATGCCCATGTTGGCGGGGTACATGCACCCTACACTGGGGCTACCTTCCGCAGGAATGGACCTGTATGACAAGTCTCCTTGCTAGATTTGTCATCATGATTCAAGCATACCGGTTTTGTGATTTTGCAACTTGTCTGTTGCCACCAGTGGTTTCAAAAGACTCATCTCTGCATGAGATGTCTGTGTTGTATACGTTTTGTCAACCACGTATTGATTCCATTATGATCTACTGACTGTTTTCTCTTCCCCTCTGAGCTTTATGGTGGAGACAAACAGATGGCTTAAGCAATTCCAAGCTACTAGGTGCAGGATATGGGGAGACCAAGTGTGAGTCCTTACTGACGTCCAAGTGCAACAGGTTCCTTGAGAATGGGGAGTATCTGCAGGATAGCCTCAAGACATGTTCCACACACCATTCGTCGAGTGACCAACCCAAGGTGGATGTGTATTGTCCATACCCAAAAGTAACCTCTGCGCACAACCACGTCCGTCCTACATCTAACACCTTTTCTCCTTGGACAACGATGGCAACCCAATCATATTGCTTGAGAGGTAACTTGAGGTACACAAGTGTGAATGTCCCTTCCTTTGTCGACAAGAACCGCAACTGGGACACCTTGATGTATTCAAGAGGGCTGCTGACATTTGTATTAGGTCACAGCCAAGGTCCCAACTGAGGAACCAGATGCTCCCAGTTTGTGGGAATGTCGAGGAATGACCCAGACATAGAGAAGATTGTTGACGCCACCATATAATGAGCTCGAATGGTGGGGAGACGATGAAATTAGTCAATAGAGCACTTCTATGGGGCACCACAGCTGCGCTGGTTTAGTCGGATGGAAACAATGATTTTGATCGTGTACAGTCATTCAGTACACACAGCATTGCTAGCCATGTGACAATTGTGTATATAGCTGAGGCATGCCTTGTGTTGCAGAGCATACATAGCTTCATGTCTAGATACAATGGAATGATCACGGCCAACAGTCCTCTCCTAGGATATTCCAACAGTAGGATATCCTCTCCAAAAGAGCCAGTTCTGTCAACTGGAGTGATATCGGTGGTAATGTGTTTTAGCTATAGTAAGAAAGATAGTAATGAAAGAGTAACCACCTGAGACCCAGTAGCACCTCAGCCCTGCAGTAGATAGATTCCTGCGAGGTATGTGCTAGGGCAATGTAACCAGCTCCCAAGTACTTTGAAGTAGTGATTGGGTAGCATTGATCCAGCTCTTTTGAGCTGGCCTTTCAGCCAGTGGAGGAGATCTTCATCAACCAGAGATCTCCCTCCCAGCTCTTGTGTTCCTACAACTGAGTTCCCTGGCGGATATTCATAGGATTAACATTTTCGCATAGACATAACACAAGAGTGGCTACATCATCAGTGTAGAAGAGTGGAAGAGTGGAAGAGTCCAAGACGGAGGAGGATTCTGCCGACGGATCAGAATCGACCCCGAAAACTGGAATCGCGACCGTTCGAGGAGATATCCAGCCGGTCACCTACCAACCAAAGGGTCGCCGACAAGATACACCAACTACCTTCTTGTTAATCGGCCTAGTTCGAGTGGCCGTCGGCATTATCCTGTTGGAAGGCCATTGTCGACCTTTCGCGATTTTCCTTACGGAAATTCCCAGTCGTGCCTGGAGGATACTGGCAAAACGAACCGGTACTCACACGGTACTCACAAGACACGTACCTCCCTCCTCCGAGTGACGTACTTCACCGTACCTCTGTTCCGAAAGCAAGCCGACACTTCGAGAACTCCCCAGGCTCACATTTTCTTGGAAATTCCGAACTCTCTCAAGGAACCCGGAAAGCCTCGAAGATACCGTGGCTCCGTACGGATCGTTCGTCCAGCCTATTACAGTAACTCGGAGCTCCACGGCAACACCTTTTGGTCTGTTTCAGAGTATTCCAAGGGCATCAGTGTGTCAAGCAGCCTTCAATTGGTCATCCACCAACAGTGCAAGGCTTCAAGTCACCTTTTGGATTTTCTGTGCTTGTGTTTGTGCAGTGCCTCTCCAGCCACACATACAAACACCAACACCAACAATACTCATCCAACCGGTACCCTTCCAAGGAACAGCAGGCAACACCACTACACTACCACTACACTACTGCACTGTCTAGCCAGCGCACCAATCATCATGGGTCGCAAGAAGAAGAAGCAACAGCAGGGAATGGATGCCAGTGACACCATATCACTAGCAGCATCCAATGGCACCAACAAACAGGACAACACCAACAGATCCACTGTTGGGTCTAATAACACTGCAGCTACTAGTAATATCAAGGTTAATTTGTTGATTTGGGCGAGCTGTGAAGAAAAAGTGATCTTTCTGGCTGGTCGCTTTGAAGTCTGCCTGCGCTTCTTGGAGGATAGTACGGTTGCTGTGAATTGCAGTATCAAAGGCATCATCATCATCGTCCGTGGCAGAGTAGAGGCGAGATGCGCGAGGTGTCAAAGCGGGGACATCGCTTTTGGTGTATTCGTCGTCGTATTCATGATCGCTGAGAAATTCCTCGATGTCGGGTTCGTCGTCATTGTCGGCAGACGGTTGTACAGGAGGTGGAGACTTCAGGTTTGAAGGCATCGTGGGCTCCAGGGAACGTTCATCGTCAGTATGAAATCGCTGCTCATCACTGGAGGGATATGCGTCGTGATCACTGAGGATGGTAGTCGCATCGGCGGCCGGCGGTGTCGAGTTGCGCCGAGAGTCGCTGCTTCATGGGAACAGGGACTTGAACTTGGTGAAATGGGGGGTTCATGTGAGTACGGATGGCATCAGTTCCAGCAGGTGAAAGTTCGGTAGTAGTCGTAGTCACTAGCTGGGGGTTCACGGAAGCTGTCTGTGGTGTTGGAGGTGTACGTCGGGTACCTTGGTACTGGGGCGACATTGGATCGAACTGGGCCAAGGTCGGGGATCCGAATGCGTTGGGATCAAATGGGATGGACTCATCCCAGTAATCAGTGTCAAGCTTCAGGGATATATAGCTGTGATACAGCATCGTCTTCACTATCAGTCTTGAATCCGTCATCAATGTCGTCGGCATGCATCTCATGAGAGTATGATTGGTATGCGGATCGGTTAAGTTCATGGTATCGTAATTCATTGCTAAAGGAAACGTTGCGAGATGAAGGTTGAGATTGAACATTGGCAATGTTGCCTGACAGAAGGTTGGGTATAGTAGTTGAGTCTTGTACAACATGTGTAGCGAGATGCAAAAGATCCGTGTCCGAAGATACTTTGTTCTTCTTCTCATCCAAGGTGTGAGACGAAACTTCCAGGGCTGGCTTATCGTTGTGATCGGGTTCAAAGATCCGGGATTTCTCGATAATGTCATGCACGTTTGCTGAGCGTGTGTCGCATCGGAATCCAAAATTGCGCGAGCCAGATTGATTCGGTTGTGTGTTTCGTTTCGCACGATCGGTTGTATTCCAAGATTTTCTTCTTTCCATCATCGGATAGTGTATCCCACGCTTTCTGGTCAGTAGGCATGAGAGACTTCCACGTTGCCACATTCATCATGACTTTGCGAGGGCCTTGAGAAGGACAATCAAATGGAGAGCTGTGAGAACGGTCTGATTGATGGACCTCAAGTAGTTCATCGATGGTCGTGTCAAAGTCGTGTACATGAGATTCGTATCCATGGTTCTCGTCGTCTTGTTTGAAGATGAGCTCATGATTGTATGAGCTTCGTCGTGAGTTTCCTCTGGATCATAATGTACCAGAGTGAGCTGCGTCGTAGATGGCTGCTAGCGAGAGCAGGCTTGTGGTGTAATCTTCAAAGCTGTAGGTGTCCTCATTCTTGGCTGCGCTACGTGCGAGCATATCCACGCGTCGTGCACCGGATAGGTTGGGTACGCCAGAGACAGCTTGCTCAAGGAACTGTATTAGTTGTCCATCGGAGTACTTGTCATGCACAGAGGTGTCGTTGTAGATTCGACCTTGTTCCTTGAAGTTCAGAATGAAGTTCTGTTGGCTTCCACGCCACGATCCGTCTGATAAATTGGCAGTGGTCAAATAGGTCGAGGTCTTGGAGGAATGAATGGTCGCTGTCATCGACGTCTTGTAGTAATTGCACATCTTTCCCAGAATAGACGAGTTTCGCTGTTCTTGAGGTGTTGCGCGAGGAAAGATTTTCCAGCTGCGGTCTTGATTGTGTCACAGAGTGTCTTGTACATCCATTCGCGTTGGATGCGATCGAGCGACGGGTTCTCCGTCATGTATCCTTTTTCGAGTAGATGAGACAAACAGTGAGACTTTACAGTGAGTAGGAAATCTTCACTCCACTTGTGCCAGTACGCTTTGTCACGGAACTCCTTGTAGTTGCTGCGAGAGATCTTGACCGTCTTGTTCCAGTGTTCAATCTCTACTTCGGCGGATACAGGAGCTCGTGTCGTGAGCCACGGGACCACTTCCGCTGATGGATCCCATCGTCTGATGCGGAATCGTTGGAAGTTAGAGAAACTGATTGACGTGACGTTGATGGATTTGGCTTGCTCTCGACAGAAGTGATGAAAGCAAAAAAAGCAGCAAGGAGTTGTCGCCATTGACTGAATCCAAGAGGGTGTTTGGCAACGGTTCCAGCGGCTGGAACCACGAGAGACTCAATGTCTTTGCGTTCCATCATCATGAGGTCCGAGAAGGTATCGACTCCAAAGTGAGTGAGGGCAAGCATGACATCGTGAGTTTCCCAGTTGGTTTCGTCATTGTTGAGCATGATGGTCACGACATGTTTGAGCTTGTCGCGATCAGCGGTTCGACGGGCAGCGGCGGACACGATTGTGCAGTTGCGTAGGGACGTAACTGTGACTGTTAATCTGCTGAAATCCTATTTCGTAAGTGATAATCTCCCTTCCTTGGGTTGGCGTCGTAGCGTGGTTAGCTTCGACTAGACCTTTGGAAGACGTGGAATGGCAAACAGTAAAAGAGAATGTAATGAGCATTACGATCTATCAAGTCTATTGGGTTTCGTTGTCAAGGTTCGGACTGATAGAAACGGAATGGCGCAAGCCGGCATCGGCTTTTAGTTCAAACATGGTGCCTATTCGACTCGGGTAGGATCGAGACATGAGTGCTAAATGGGACCACGGTGCATCCATCGTGGACCACAGTGTGGAATATGCTGCACAGACTATGCGCGCTCTTCCGGTACTCATGAACTCTATCCCTTGACCTCCGACTGGGGTGAGTCACTGGTCTTCTGAGTCGTGGGAGAAAACGCCTTGTTAGCAGATGTTGGTGTTGCCGGTGCTACTGCTGATTGCTGTTGGTGTAGCACCACTGGCACCCAGACTGGGTCTGTTGTTGTTGCTTCTTCTTCTTCTTGCAAGCCATGGTGGTTGCTTGTTGGTGCGCTGGCTGCAACAGTGTGGTAGTGATAGTGATTGTTTCGAGGCTGGGTAGGTTACTGGTTGGATGAGTGTTGTTGGTGGTGGTGTGTGTATGTGTGGCTGTAGAGGCACTGCACAAACACAATCACAGAAAATCCAAAATCAGGTCCTGGGGACTTGCACTGGTAGAGGATGACCAAGTGAAGCGTCCTCTATCTGGTGGTAACCTTGATTGCCTTCGAAACAGTCCGAAAGGTACTCTCGTGGTGCTCCGAGTTACTCTGGATCGACACCTCGAATCGAATCAACACTGCAACACGTACGTATTATCTTCAACACGTGTTCTCCGAGTTTGGAATTCTGAGGCAAATGTGAGACAAGTTGATTGCACGAGCGTCGGCTTGCTTTCGGAACAGACGTCACTCGGAAGAGGTGCATTCCGTACCGGTTTTGTGAGTCTCTTGTGAGTACCGGTTCCCTTCACCGCAGTATCCTCTGCGGAGGCACGACTGAGATATTCCATACGGAAAAAGGATGGATCGAGAATGGGGATCTGCCACTGCTTGTACTCGATTGGCAGCCGTAACCAAGCCGATTAACAAAGAACTGGCTGGACTATCCTCTCAAGCACCCTCAATTTGATAGGTGGGACGCTTGGTTTCACTCCTACCACTTCAATATTGGTCGAGTTAGGTCGATCAGCAGATTTGGTCGCGATTTTCCTTGTTGGTTGATCTTCTTCTCTTTCCGCTGTCGGCACAGCCGTAACCAAGGCACTCGACAAGTAACCAGTAACCGTGGCGTGTCAAGCAACCTTTAGTTAGTAGGTGGACGTCTTGGTTTGAGCTCAATTGGTCGCGATTCCAGTTTCCAGTCGTCGATCTGTCGGCAGTCGCGATTGAGCGATCGGCAACTCCTCCTCTCTTCTTCGTCCTTGATTTCCACACTGCGGCCACTCTTGTGCTCGCTATTGCGACCTTGTTAATCCTATGAATTCCAGAGGAACTCAGGGGTAGATGCACAAGAGCTGGGATGGAAAACTCTGTTTGGTGGAGACCTCCTTCCACTGGCGCTAGAAAGGCCAGCCCAAGGCTGGCAGCCAATGCTATTCAATCACTGTGGAAGCAACGATTGAACAGTCTAATTGCTCAATACCCTGGCACTGGCCATACAGGATCCGGTCTACTGCAGAGCTCTACTTGTGCTGTTGGGTCTGTTTCTCAGGTCAACTACTTCTTCATTACTTCTTTAAACTATGCTAAGAACAAATACACAAACTCTGATTTAGCGACAAACAGATCCATGCATCTCTTTTGGCTGATATAGATCAAGCCATCTGTCTAGACAGGTCCTGGATGAGGAACAGCATCAACCTTTCTTGCAGAGGAACTCTATGTCCTCTACAGCTGTTCCTATTTTGTCTGATGGTGACACAGCTCTTTGTACTGAAAGAGTGTACAGATGCAGCAGCGATCTTTCCATCAGACTGAGCCAGCACAGCTGCGCCGCACCCATACTATGGCTCCTATGGCATAATCTCATCGCACAGTCGCAAGTCCTGTGTTTGAGAGCGGAGAAGCTTACATCGTAGCCGGTGGACGATTGAAGATTCAGAGCAGCACTTGATGGCATTATTGCCAGCAGTGCTTTGACGTCATTGTGACAAGCTCGTCTCGAGCGTCCCTGTAGCTGGTGCACATGGTGGTGGTGTCTACCATGGGTTACTCGGCATTTTGCCTGTTTGGCCCATAAGAGTTTTGGAGATAAAGTGCTCCTGGGACTTAAGTAGACATTAGTAAACACGGTAGACATTGTAAGACATTGGTAGACATTTGTAGACTTTAGTAAACTTTTAGTAGACTTTAGTAGACTTTGGTAGACTTTAGTAGACATTGATAGACATTTTTGTACTGTTTTACTATGCAATATAGACATTGGTAGACATTAGTAGACTTTAGTAGACATTGGTGGACATTTGGTAGACATTGGTAGACATTTGGTAGACGTTAGTAGACATTGGTAGACATTAGTAGACATTGGTAGACATTAGTAGACAGTGTGAGACATAAGCCACTTTTACTAAGGAGCAACATTTTAAAGCAACTGACAAAATGCCGAGTAACCATGGTTGGGAGATAGACTTTGGTTGTACCGGTAGAGTCGAAAGTGTGGTGTGATGGTTATGTATAAAAACGATCCGCTAAATTGAAGATCGACGGCCGTGCGCTATGGACGCGAATTCGAGGCGAAGCCGAGTGCGGCGTGTACAGTAGCGCGCAGGCCGGAGATCTTAAGATGAGGACGAGGCGAGATCGAGGCAAAGCTGAGGCGGGAAGAGGCCATTGGCCTCTCCGCCGAGTGCTGCAGTCGAGATTGAAGCCGAGACTGAGGCTGTCAATGAAGAGGGCTGTCATTTGTGTGTAATCTGTACAGTGATAATCCGAGAATTAGAGTGATCTGCACATTAAGACCCGCTGCAGATTAAGACCATCGTAATATTGTGAGATTTGTACAGTAACTTCTATAGTAACAGCATATCCAGCTACATGTACTATCAGTTGTACCAGCTAGCTACTAGAGCACTACTAGCTACTAGCTAGAGGATAGCCTCAGTATCAGCTCTTCGTCAATGCCATTGTCACTGCTGTCGTCATTGCCATCGTCAATGCCATTGTCACTGCTGTCGGAAACGGCCATCTTGAAAGGAACGAGTGTGGATAGCCCAGACGATAAACGAACGATAGATGAGGTAAGGAAGAAGGAGTGTCGATAGAGGTGCTTCTATTCTAGATAGACTGTAGAGGTGCTTATGCATGTATGTGCAAAGGAAGCACCTCTATGGAGCGAAGCACCTCTACGGAGCGAAGCACCTCTACGGAGCGAAGCACCTCTACATGTACCGCAAGCCTCGAGCCTCGATAGAGGTGCGAAAAATACTCGATGGAGGTGCGTACATAGGATTCCACGTAGATTCACTACTGGAACATGACTGACGTCATTCGGTCTTAATCTGCAGCGAAAAGAATTCGATGACGGTTGACTGCATATCTTCAACCACTCCTAACTCCACCAATAAGTACACTATGAGGTTGCAAATTTTATGGCATACTCAACTACATGTGTTCTATCGATTCCCCTAGTTACAGTACTATATTTGATATACAGCCCTGAAGAGAATATTCCGCGGAATGGTCAGTCTTAATGTGCAGATCACTCTAGACTATTGTAACTGCTCATAGAGCAAACGCTGTTGTTATTGTCGATTGATCTCGATCGATCGATCGATCGTTCGATCGCCGTCGTTCTTGACCGCTGGAAGCCCGTCATTGTTTGACCGATCGAAACTAGTTGTTGTTGTTGTTGTTGTTGTTGTTGT